GATGCTGTGCTCTCTGTCCATCCCAGGCCCCCCTCCAGGGGATAGTGTGCTCTCTGTCCATCCCAGGCATCTTCCAGGGGATGTTATGCTCTCTGTCTGTCCCGGCCCCCCCTCCAGGGGTTGTGACACTCTCTGCCAGTCCCGGGCCCCTGTCCTGGAGTAACAGCAGAGGGACCCTCTGAAGCCCAGTGCGCCTCCAGTGAGGGGCTGGGCAGAGGTGACAGGCAAGACAGACGAGGAGGAGGCAAGAACCCAAGAGTGTGATCTGGGCACAGTAGTGAGGGGCCATTCAGACTGCTGGGTGGGGGTGGGGAGATGCAGTCACACCACAGTGGACTGAACTGCTGTCAGTCTGTCTGGCGGGGGGCAGGAGGTACAGCAAGGCTCCTGTGGAGGCTAGGGGGCTCTTGCTCAGAGGATACCCCTAGAGTCCACACGACACCCCAACCTTTGACCTGCTGGCCACTAACTCGGGGCTGGTCTCCCACTACCCCTTCAGGATGCTGGCCACAAGCTCAAGAGTCCACACGACACCCTTACTTTCTGACTTGCTGGCTCCCACTGTCCCTTTGGGTTCAGTAACTCATTGGAATGACTCACAGAACTCACAGAGAGTGTACCGTGCTTATGACTACAGGTTTAATATAACCAGAAAGGATACAAACAGAGACGCATAGGGCAAGGTCCCAGCACAGAGCTTCTGTGTCCTAAAGGATGCACTACCCCCCTGAGAGCAGATGTTCTCACCAATCAGGAAGCTCTCTGAGTTTCAGTGCTCAGGGCTTTTATCAGCCAGTCCTGCATGAGAGGCTAAACCATGCCTCCTGGGACAACTCGATATCAGCCTTCCCTGTGAGTTTTTCTGGTCTGGCCATCCCCCACTCACCAGCACAAATCCTCAGGCATGGCCTAGAAGTCCCAGACCAAGGCACCCCAATTATTCTAGGGATATTTTACTGGAGCCCAGGACAAAGACCACCTTACTTGTAGTAAAACTAGGTTCTTTACCCTACACGAGTTGTAAGACACTCACTCACGAAGCCTCTAACTCCGTGCTCTCCTTGTCTAACAGTTGTGTACCATTTTTGCTGTCTTTGCCCCTAGCTGACCCATTCGACCCTTTCCTGATGGCAACTGACTCAGACACTCAGACCTGCTCCGACCCTGATCTCTTTGGCGAGTTTCTTCATCCTGACTCCTCGGCCACACTGCCCACTGCGTTCCCTTCCACGCACAGCGCCCCGCCCCCATCCTCCAGCTCGGACTTCCTGCACTTGGGTGAGCCTCTCCCTGCAGCCTTCGCACAGCCCAGCGCTCTGAGCCATGTGCATGGACCTGCGGGAGGTCTTGGCGTTTCGGGAAACTGCGTATTTCTGCCTCTGGCAGAGCACGAGAATCTGCTTCCGTGCAGTCTCACTTATTTGATGCTAGCTGGTTCCTGAGGACACATGGGGACTGGAAGGCGGGTTTTCAAGTTACTGGTCTGAAAACAAGTGTGACAGTAGGTTGGAAGTGTTCACAGCACATGAGCCAGATGGATGGTGGAGAGAGGTATGGACTTGAGGGCCTTACGGACGTATCTGAGTCCTATCTCCACCCTCTGACTGCATAACCTCTTACACTTTGGGGTAGTTCTGCTTGCTCTGGGCATGACAGGAGGCCCCCATATGGCCCAGCTCTGCCCCCTTGCCTCTCAGTGTGCTCCCAGCGGCTCAGGGCCTCTGAGGTCCTGCCCAGCTCCTGTGGACCATCTCTGAGATGATGCCAGTGATGGCCGCACATGGCCTGGACACGGGCAGTGTGGGAGGTCAGCCCAGAGCTGCCGCCACCCGGGGCCTTCTGGGAGCTGGCCCTGCTCTTCTTCTCCTTCCCTCCCAGCCATTCCTGCAGCTGCTCCTTGGCTTTCTCTGTGCATCCTCACCCTGCATGCTGTTCAGCAAGTGGCTCTGGAGGGCCCACCCACAGGCCAGGCCTCTCTGGGCCCCAGGGCCAGGTGGTGAACAAGGTCATCACAGCCACCTTCACACGGAGCCGGTGTGGGGCAGGGCGAGGGGACGGTGGGGGACAGAAGAATCCACGGAGCAAGTGCTGGGAAGAGAGCATAGCAGGAGGGCATTGGAGATGGGTGTGTGCCCAGGAAGGCCCGAGGAGTGACTGGATTGGCTTGTTCTGACAGAGAGAGGCCTGCTTGGCTGGAACAGAGCTGAGAGTGAAGCCAGGCCAGAGACAGAGCAGGCTGGGAGACAGCATGGGCCAGGAGAGTCCACGGCTGGGAGAGAGTGCAGGCCGGGAGAGGTTGTGGGCTGGGAGAGTCCACGGCTGGGAGAGGGCGCAGGCCAGGAGATTCCACAGGTGGGAGAGGGGGCAGGCCAAGAGAGGTTGTAGGCTGGGAGAGTCCACGGCTGGGAGAGGGCGCAGGCCAGGAGATTCCACAGGTGGGAGAGGGCGCAGGCCAGGAGAGTTGGGTGGGAGAGGGGGCAGGCCAAGAGAGGTTGTAGGCTGGGAGAGTCCACGGCTGGGAGAGGGCGCAGGCCAGGAGAGTCGGGTGGGAGAGGGTGCAGGCCAGGAGAGTCCACTGCTGGGAGAGGTTGTGGGCCGGGAGAGTCCACTGCTGGGAGAGGGCGCAGGCCAGGAGAGGTTGTGGGCCAGGAGACAGCATGGGCCCAGAGAAGAAGCCGGGCCAGGTCCTCTGGTCCTCAGTGAGGTATTGTGTTGGGCAGCTGCTGAGGGTTCAAGCAGAGGAGCGCATATGCTTTGGCAGGGCTGATGTGCGTCGTAGGAAGCTTGTGGCGGCCGCATGCAGACACGCTGTGGGTGGACAGAGTGAAGTGGCTTCACAGTAGTGCCAGCACTAGCGACAGTGAGAGGTGGGCAGGCAGGCAGACACCGTGTGCCTAGGTACCAGGATAGCCAGGGCTGGGTGTGGGCCCTGAGGGAGGGGTCTGCAGGTCATCTGTCCCCTGGGACAAAGACGCAACCAGCCCAGTGTCCTCGCCGCTGCATGCTCTGGCAGGTGTTAGGAAAGGGCAGGAGGGTGCTTGCAAAGGCACCTACAGGCACGTGAGTGTGAGGGACCTGAGCACACCTGGCAGGTGCAGGAGGCGGCAGTAGTGTCTTTGAAGACCTTCAGGCAACTGATGTGCTAATGCTAGTTCTTGTCATCTCATGAACTTCACTGTGTGCCAACCGTCCTCACGTCCAGTGGTCAGATCAGGGGGCACATGAGTGTCTGTGGGTCCCCCAGAGCCGACGGCTGTGGGCCCAAGAGGAGGAGGCAGGGCTGTGGCTGGAGACCAGGTGCCCTGCAGGTTGAGGGCAGTGGGGCCCTGGCCCTGCACACCCAGCAGCTGCGGGGCTCCGCGCTCGCCTGCCTCTGCCTCTTGCCCAGCAACCCCTGTTGGGCCTGGGTTGGTGCATGACGGGCCGGCCGAAGCCCTACTGCCCATGGTGTGGGCGCAGCACAGCCCTGCCTGGAGGGCTGCCCCTGTGGGACCCTCTGCAGAGGTAGCCATCCTGGCAGCCCTCTCAGGAGGCCACCTTCCAGCCTGTGCTGCGTCATGCTAGCCAGCAAAGGGAGGCTATTAGAACTGGCATCTCCAGAGAGGGCCTTCACCCGGGCATCCCTGCCCGATGTGTTGTATGGGCACACCTGTGACCGTGGTGACGAGAGTGTGGCAGTGTGAATGTGTGAAGGGCCCGCCCCACTCGGGGAGGGGCGGGTGGGGCAGACAGACTCTAAAGAATGCTGTTCTCTTCTGGCATTTTCTTCCCAGGGGATCTACCGGCGGAACCCAGCAGGATGACAGCCTCCTCCAGCCACCCGGACCTCCTAGGAGGATGGGACGCCTGGGCCAAGGCTGCAGCATCCGCGCCGGCCCCGAAGCCTACCACAGAAGGTAGGGTGCCACTGGTCACCACCGTGCCCAGCGAGGGCTGCTTGGGCTTCCAGGCTGGGGATGCATCTGTGTAGTTTTGGTGCCTTTAAATGATCCAGTTATTTTCCCATTATACGAGTAATACAACCATAACACCCCCCAGAAAGTAGTCAGGACTGCCACAGGCCAGCACTCAGTGTGACCACACCCATGAGGCTGAAGAGGAGACGAGAGCACTGGGCATTTGGGATCTTTGCCTCTCACTCACTCTTCCTTATTTGGTGCGTAGTACAGAGATGCAGTGATTGCCAGGCCCACCCACAGGCTAGCTCCCGAGAGACAAGCAGCTGCGGCCCTGTCCACCACACCCTGCTTTTGCTTCTTCTCCTGCGGACGTGCGTGTTTGGTGACATGATTTCATGCTTCACGTACTCTTCATTCCCAGCTTTTTTACTCAAAACATACCGTGAGCATTTTCTGTGTCCTGTGGTTATTCCTTGCTCCTGAAGCTTCCGTTTTGAAGATTGCCGGCTGTCACCTGTGCGACTACCACACTCGTGACTGTCCCTGTTGTAGGTGTGCAGGTGGTGTCCAGCATCACGTCTGTGAGCGTCTTTCTGTCTCTGTGTCCATCTGTGATCCATCCTGTTGAGACATTTCTGGTAGTGAATTGCTGTGTCAGAGAATGTGCATATTTACAAGGCCTTTGGTACATACTCCACTTTAGGTACATGTTTTTATTAATCTCCTTGCGCATGGGCAATTCATGCCCTTCTTGGTTTCCCACCAGAGTTGGATAGTAACTTGTAAGAGTACTGTTGTACCAGTTTGACAGGACATCCATCCTCTAATGCACATTTCTTCACTGTGTTGACATTGACTGTTGTATGATTTTCGTTATTTGTTTTTCTTTTGAGAACTAGTTGATGTTCTTTGCTCATTTTCCTATTGATCTATAGGTGTACTTTATATATGAAAAAACAGCCATCGTCTCTAATGGCCGCATGAGATTTTATTGTGTGACCGTACAGTGATTTACTTAAGTATTTCACTACTCTTTTCTCCTATTATAAGGAACATTATACAGAACATTCACATTTTAAATTAATCTCAGGAAGTGGTATTACAAAACCAGAACAACATGAACATTTTTGGTTCTTGATACAAGCTGTTATGTTCTTCTCAGAAGGACTGCCCTAACTCACAGCAGTGCGAGGCACTGGCAGGCAGCTGTCCCACCACAGGGCGCGTGAGCGTCCATGTGTGATTGTGTTCTGATTCTGGCTTGCTGTTACATACTCTTTTACTTTGCAATTAATATTGCAATCTAAAGTCAAGAACTACAACATACATGTTGTTTAAAGCGACGTAGCTGCTAGTACTGAGCACAGGTGAGTGCCTTCAGGATAGCAAGGAAGGTTCGGGAAGCAACAGCAGAGGGGCTCCCAGGAGGCATATGTTCTTAATGTCGCTGCCCCTTGCAGGCCCCCTCTTCTCTTCTGGAGGTCAGCCAGCAGCCCCGCCCGGCCCCTCGACCAGCCGGACCAAGTCGCAGAACCTGGACCCCTTTGCCGACCTTGGTGACCTTGGCTCAGGCCTCCCAGGTAATGTGCCTTAAACATGTAAGAACATCACATCGGGCTGTGTTGACAATGTTATGTACCTTATAGGAATTTTTATTCTTGGAAGTTGTCTTAGTTATCTAGTGCTGCTATAACAAATACCACAAGTCAATGCCCTTAACAAACAGAAATTTATCGTCTCACAGTCTAGGAAGCTCCAAGTCTGAATTCAGGGCACCAGCTCCAGGAGGAGGGCTTTCTGTCTCTGTTGGCTCTGGGGGAAGGACTTCATCATCAATCTTCCCCTGGTCCAGGAGCTTCTCAGTGCAGGGACCCTGGGTCCAAAGGATGTGCTCTGCTCCCGGCGCTACTTTCTTGGTGATATGATATCACACTCCTCTCTGCTCGATTCTCTGTTTTATATCTCAAAAAGAGATTGACTCAAGGTATAGCCTAATCCTGTAGATTAATTCCTGCCTCATTAACATCATAGAGGTAGGATTTACAATACATAGGATAACCACATCAGATCACAAAATGGTGGACACTTTCACAATACTGGGAATCATGGTCTAGCCGAGTTGAAACACGTTTTTCAGGGACACAGTTCAATCCATAACAGAAGTGTTGGCAACAAAGCCCACCTGCTTGGACACCACTTACTTAGCTGTCCTTGGCTCCTGCCCGCACTAGACTCTGAGCTGCAAGAGTGCTCCCGAGCCTGTGGCACAGCGATTACAGCAGGGTGGAAATGTCTGATCTCATAGTACTTTTATGATTTAAAAATGCTTCCATCTTAGTCCAGTTATTTGTTAACTAATAACCTAAAAAATCAGGACTGTGAGGTCCCTTCCAGCCACCCCTTGGAAGAGGCCCCCGTGTGTGCACCACTCATGGGAGCTGTGGGAACTGCCCAGGAAGGCCAGGGTCTCGGCGTTTGAGGGCAGCTACAGGCGATGGGCGCGGTGCTCCAGGTGGGGGTGCACGTGGCATGGGTGTCCCGTGTCTGGGTGGTGGAGCTGGTGACATGTTTAATCCATAAACTGCAGTGAGTTCCCATCTGTGCTAGGCTCTGCTCAGGCTGCCAGGACCTCGTGGGGGAGAAAAAGCACCACTGTCCTCAGTGAACAGAGACACCTCCGAGAGTATCGCCAAAGAACAGGGTGGGGACGGGCCTGGCAGCAAGGTCCCCTCCTTCATGCAACCAAATGATTGTGCAGTGGTGGGACCCCTGCCTGCTATAGACTGAGGGTCAGCCTGCTGAGAGCCAGTCCTGTGAGAGATGCCAAGGCTGGGTGAGACAGGTGCAGAGTCAAAATAGTCCTGTAACTATAAGGAAAATGAGCTGGTAGGTAGAGACCTCCCCAAAAGGGACTTTTCAGGCCCAAATGGTTTCACTGAGAATTCTACCAAACACTTCCCAGCTCACTCGATGAGGCCAGTATTACCCTGATACCGAAAGCAAACAGTACGAGGAAAGAAAACTACAGACAGTATCACTCATGAGTATAGACATAGAAATCCTCAACAAAATGTTAGTAAGTAGAACTCGTCAATATATAAAAAGAATCATACACCACAACCAAGGGGAGTTGATTCCAGGAATGCAAAGCTAGTTGAACATTCCAAAATCAATCGATGTAATCCACCATATTAACCAGCTAAAGAAGAAGAATCACATAATCATAGCAACAATACAGAGAAAGCATTTAACAAAATCTAGTCCTCGTGTTACTTTGAGGACTAAGGTGCACCTGACTCAAGCCATGGTGTTTTCAGTCACCTCACACACATGCAAAACCTGGACAACGAATAAGGAAGACCGAAGAAGAACTGATGCCTTTGAATTATGGTGTTGGCAGAGACTGTTGAATATACTGTGGACTGCCAGAAGAGCGAACAAATCTGTCTTGGAAGAAGTACAGCCAGAATGCTCTTTAGAAGCAAGGAGAGCTAGACTTCGTCTCATGTTCTTTGGACATGGTATAGGAGGTACCAGTTCCTGGAGAAGGACATCATGCTTGGTAGAGGGTCAGTAAAAAAGAGAAAGACCCTCAGTGAGATGGATTGACATAGTGGCTGCAACAATAGACTCAAGCATAACAATGATTATGAGGATGGTGTAGGACCGGCCAGTGTTTCGTTCTGTTGTACATAAGGTCGTTATAAGTCGGAACTGACTCGACGCCACCTAACAACAACGTTCCCCATTCATGATAAAAACTTCCATCAGACGGGAGCTTCCTCAACTTGATAAAGAATATCTACAAAAAAACTACAGCTTAATGAGGATAAACTAGATTTCTTTCTCCCTAAGATCACAGAGGAGACAAGTATGTTCTCTCTGACCATTCTCATTTACTGCTAATGCAATAAGGTAAGAAAAGGAAATAAAAGTTACACATCCTGGAAAAAAAGAAATAAAATTGTTTCTGTTTGCAGGTGGCGTGGTTGTTTATTGTTGTGGATTGAATTGTGTCCCCCAAAGATGTGTGTCAACTTGGCTAGGCCATGATTCCCAGTATTGTGTGATTGTCCACTATTTTGGGATCTGATGTGATTTTCCTATGTGTTGTAAATCCTACCTCTATGATGTTAATGAGGCAGGATTAGAGGCAGTTATGTTAATGGGGCAGGACAACAAGATCAGGTTGTGTCTTGAGTCAGTCTGTTTTGAGATATAAGAGAGAGAAGTGAGCAGAGAGACAGGGGACCTCACACTACCAAGAAAAAAAGCACTGGGAGCAGAGCATATCCTTTGGACTTGACGTTCCTACGCCGAGAAGCTCCTAGACCAGGGGAAGATTGATGACAAGGGCATTCCTCCAGAGACAACAAAGAGAGAAAGCCTTCCCCTGAAGCTGATGCCCTGAATTTGGATTTCTAGCCTACTAGACTAAGAGAATAAACTTCTGTTTTGAAGCCATCTGCTTGCGGTATTTCTGTTACAGCAGCACTAGATAGCTAAGACATTTATGTAGGAAAGTTGGAGCAATCTACAGAAATCTTTTAGAACTAATAAGTGAGTTCAGTAAGGTTGCAGGATAAAGATCAATATAAACACATCTGTTGTATTTCTGTTTACTGGCAACATACACAAGGAAACCAAAATGTAAATGACACAATTTACAACTGCTTAAAAGAAAATGAAATACAGGTATAAGTCTAATAAAACATGTAGAGCACTTTTATGGTGAAAACTACAAAAACAAAACATGATAAAACAGATCAGACAAGATCTTAATAAATGGAGAGACATACCCTATGCATGGATTGTAAGACTCAACATTTTAAATAAATAAAGATTTCAGTTCTTTAGATTCAAAAGATTTCAAGCCTGTTGATCTATAGGTTTAGCACAATTCCTACCAAAATATCCCAGCAAGAATTTTTGTAGATACAGACAAGCTTATTTTAAATTTTATTTGGAAAGGCAAAACAACTAGACTGGCTAAAATATCCTTGTAGCAGAAGAATAAATGACGTGGGAGGAATCACTCCACACAGTTCAATGGAACAGAATAGTTGTTGTTGCTGTTAGTTGCCATCAAGTTGATTCTGATTTGTGGTGACCCCGTGTGTGCAGAGTAGAACTGCTCCATAAGGTTTTCAGGGCTGTGACCTTTTGGAAGCAGATCACTAGTCCTGTCTTCCAAGGAGCCTCTGGGAGGGTTCAAACCACTGGTAGTCGAGCATTTAACCATTTGCATCACCCAGGGACTCAGGAACAGAATTGAGGACCCAGATATAGACCCTCACGTGTAAGACCAGGTGATGGCAGAAGTCATTCAACAAATGGTGCTGGAGCAATTGGACATCCACAGGTGGAAAATGAACCTCGACCTCCACCTCACACCTACACTAGTTACCTCAGAATTGATCATAGATTTCTTTAAATGTAAAACACAAAACCATAAAGCCATTAGAAGAAAGTATTGGTATAAGATGGCGTGGTGTCAGACCCCATCTCACTTCAGGGGAAGGAGAGAGAATCAAGATCAGCATCAGCGCAAACCTGATTCCTGTGAGGTGGAGATCAGACATACCTCCTCTCTCTGACCATTTTACCAATTCTGACACCACCTTTCCCTCTTTACTTCTCTGCTGGGTTCCGTAATTCATCGCAGTGGCCACACAGAACTCAACAAACCATAGTCACCATTGCATGGTTTATTAGGGAAGTAACAGGTTATAGTTCAGGATTATGATCAACTTGGAAGTAACAGGAACAACTCAAGATACAGTTCTTGGATCAGGACAGCTTCTCGGCCGTGCCCACAGGCAGGCCTTGCCCCCAGGCCCTGCCTGGGCCTGGCCTCTGTCACTGGGCCCTCGCTCTTGGTCTCAGCCCCAACTCTTGGCCTTAGCCTCAGCCCCTGCTCAGGCAAGTGTTACAAAGCTCTTTAGCTTCGCCAGTAAGTGCCCAGAGGCACCCCACTCCACCAGTGTTGTAGATTGAATTGTGCCCCCTAAAAGTGTGCCAGCTTTGCTAGGCCATGATCCCCAGTATTGTGTGATTGTCCAGCATTGTGTCATCTGATGTGATTTCCCTATGTTCTGTAAGTCCTATTTCTATGATGTTAATGAGGCAGGATTAGAGGCAATTATGTTAATAAGACATGACTCAGTCTATAAGATTAGCTTATGTCATAAGGCAGTCTCTTTTGAGATATGAAAGAGAGAAGCGAGCAGAGAGACAGGGAGACCTCATACCACCAAGAGAGCAGTACTGGGAGCAGAGCGCGACCTTTGGACCTGGGGTTCCTGTGCCGAGAAGCTCCTAGTCCAGGGGAAGATTGATGACAAAGACCTTCCTCCAGAGTCCACAGAGAGAGAAAGCCTTCCCCTAGAGCTGGCACCCTGAATTTGGACTTCTAGCCTCCTAAACTGTGAGAGAATTAATTTCTCTTTGTTAAAGCCATCCAGTTGTGATATTTCTGTTATAGCAGTACTAGATGACTAAGACAACCAGTAAACCTACTGCCTGAAGGCTCACAACTCTCTTGCTTCATGGGCCAGGAAGCCTACCTCACTGTCTCACT